CCGTTTTCTTCCCCTTTTCACAGCCACGTCCGCGATTTTCTCACGATACTCGAATAGAAGCAATATGCAGTCATCCCCCGCATAGTAACGCTACCTAACTCTTGTGTGACGTGAGACCGAGCGTAGGACGGTTGCGCATATATGTGAGCCGAAATTGCATATAAACGTGCATGAATACATATATGCACACGCGGATGTGCCCATGGCGGATGAGAATTTGGGCGTGGTTGGGCAATTTTTGTGAACGTATAGCACACTCGCTCACCACTACGGGAGGTGCGGGAAGACACGTCGGTTTCTGTGCAACACGATATATGTGTAAGTGCGTGTAGGTATACAAACGCTTAACGCACGTCCCTCAGGATATTGGTCTAGGAGCCGCGTGATTGGCCAGTCGGTAACCACAGCAATGACGTTTATGTACGTGTGCCTGCGCGTGACATGGGAATAATATACACACATATATGATGCGTCGAAATGCTCTGCCAATGGCGTAAGATTATACGGTTTCTGAGCGCACAATCGTGACTATTCCAATGTTCTCGCGTGAATAATACATTGGGTTTATTTAATTAAATCCACATAATTTATCTGAATGACATTTATCTGAAATCCCAAAGAAAAATATTTCAAACATAATTATAACGTAATCATAACGTAATCTTTACGTATAAATATACATAACTATGCATAATTATAGTAAATTATGTATGAAGTTTGTCCATATATAATTATTTAATACTAATTATATATCCCGGAAAAAATAATTATATAAGATCATGTGTGAATTTTGCCCATACATGTATGATCATATATGAAAAAAATGATGTTATGTCATTTGATTAAATATCGTGTGCTGTCAGAAGCACAAGTAGCATTTACTTCGATTGTATTTGCATATAATTTGTAAACTACAATATTTTTTTGTCGTGGACACATATAATTATATATATGTGGGTAAATTTCATATATGATCTTTTTTTCCTGGATATGTATAATTAGATGTGATTAGATATAACTATCTGATTACTATTGTGTAATGTTTTTCTCTATGCTTGCAAAAAAGTCCCAGCAAGTCTGTCATCAACGTAGAGGAAATAGCCGAAAGTTTTTTATAGTATCAAAAATGCATAATTAGATATTAATCATGCATAATTATGTATGATTAATATTAAGCAATTATATAAATTTTTCATATATAATTTAATATTACGCACAGTTATGTATATTTATATATTATTATGTATGAAATATTTTTTTAACGGAATTAATTCTCCATAATGTTCGTTAGTTCTATATTCAACAGTAAGGAGAATCATATGAACTCTTCTGCATTGACACAACAGATATCTTGTTTTTAATTTTAGACTGGAACGAAATTGTCTATTGTAAAACATTATAACTCATATAGCACAAATTTTCAAAAGACACTTTAAAAACATCCCAAAGATATCCGAACATCTCCCAGACGACTCTAGGACGTCTTTTGAACATTAGTGCTACATGGGAAAAATCGTTTCTTGAAGAGAGATATGAGCCAAGGTTCTAAAGATACCGGTTAAAAAAAAAAATTTATTAATTTTTTCTGAACAAAAAATTCCCCAAAGTGAAAAATCAATTTTTATTAATTACAGTCGATAAAAATAATCAATAGCGTAAGTAAAATAAGTTACTATAAGTAAATCTCAAGAATACTGTGAATACGATATGAATGGAATGTATTCGTAAAAGTTATAATAAGCTTGAAATTATAATTCTCTCCTTTTTCCATGAAATGTGTGTGTATGCTGTATGAAGAATCTAGCCCCTTTTTTTAAATTTTAACGGAATGAATTGATTTGATTATCTTCCTACTCCATATTTCTTTTTAGCTTTTTCATTACATATAGGACGGCACTAAAGACCTTATAGATAAGAACTGGCGATACATAACCAATAGTAAGTAAATAAGAAATATTAAATTAATATTTAGAAATGTTGACTTCATGCATATTCTTTGAACGTTTTTTAAGGCAGATATACAGGCAGAATAATATTATATATATATTTTAAAAAAATTATTACGTAATATAATTTTTCTGAATGCAGTAAAAATATTTTAAAAACGTTATAAAAAATATTTTTTAATACTATTTTGACATTTATTTGAAGTCAACAATTCAAACTTGCTTATAATGTGGACTTAGAAATAACGTTGGTAAAATATTAATTTTCTGTTGTTATAATATTATTTTTTATATTATTCTAATATGTCCGCTATTTCAAAAAATTATATGTGTGATGAGAAATACTATTTTATTATTGTATAGGTAGTCGCAATAATTAACGGCTGTACGTTCTTATGGCTAAGTTCGTCTTGCAGACTTTCGTACTAAAAATATCATTCTATCTTCTTTTGGCATGCAATGAGCAATACAGGTAGAATAATATTTTCAGCACGAAAGCATGCAAAACGAACTTAATCTATATGTGACTTTGATTAGTTAGTAAGTAATAAGACCACTACGAAGGCACTATTCTTATAATAGTTGCGTATACGTACTACGATATATACAAGTGTCACTGTGTAGGTATAATCATATTATGAAATAGCTGTGCACACACACACACACACACACACACACACACACACACACACACACACACACACACACACACACATCATCACTTAATCATTTCAAGAATAGAGGTCCAGAGCACAGAGCGGTTTTCATAAGTATCATTAATGGTATGTTTAAATTTTATCGTTTCAGCAATATTATCTTAAAAACATTATAAGAATGATAGAAAAACCTTAACGCAACGTTATTTGCAATGACACTCCCATTTCATACTTATCGAAATCTCCGGATTAGTGGCAAAGTTTGTTCATAATAACGTTGTATACAACATTAAATACGACATACGAGGGCAAGGTGAAAAGTTCTCGGCCTGACTCAGAAATGGCATTCCAATCGGCGAAAGTTTACGTTTCCTGCCTGCGCGCACATATCATTCCAGTCAAATAAGAGGAGAATAATCGACTGATCAGTTTCTTAAGGCTTAAAACTTAAAACACTATAATAGATCAGAGGGTCGATCATGAATCTATTTCTATAGCGTGAACTCGTGGAAGATGAAAATTGTCTAATGTCAGAACATATGGAAATGTTCTTTTCACGAGTTCACGCTAAAGCAAAAGACTTTCCAGATAGTACAAAGAGTTCAAAAAGAATTCATTTATATGTCGCCAATTCTGAGTTCATTTTCAGTTTCAAACAAATTTCTTTTTATAAAAAGAATTCTTTCTACAGCTGAAAATGAATTCAGGATTGGTGTTATACAAATGAATTCTTTTTGAGCTTTCTGTGCTATCTGGGTTATGATTGACCCCTAGGACTTATGCAAAAATCTGGGACTCGATTCTTAAAGTATTCGTAATTATTCATATACGTAGCTTGCGAGTGATATCCAATGAGTAAAAATAATATGCTCATTGAATATCGTTCACAAGTTATGCACACAAATAATAACGAATAATTTCACAACCTCCGGTTAACTCAATCCCCTGATTATTCTATTGGAATTGACCAGTTGCATTTGTCATTAAGCAGAAATAGCCCATCACGGTTGACACTTAACCGATCAATTAAGTTAATCGGAGATTGTGAAACTGACTCTAAAACTGACTTTTATCAACTCCAGTTAACTGACGGTTAACTGACACTTGATCAGTTGGTCAATTCCATTTAATTAATCGTCGATTAAATTTAAATCATGATGATAGAAACGGGCATAAGTCAAGAATCGAGCCTCCGGTGACATATTGTATTTACGGAATAATAACTATATTCTTCATTGAATATTATTCGCGGGTCCCATTAACGCACAGTGCGATAGCACACATCCACTCACATCAGCCGGTGCCTAAAGTTTTTCCACTGGACCACCAAATTTTATATTAAATTAGGCAATCACTTATGTAGGTTATCGGAGCTTTTCCTCAGTCGCAAGTTAGACCGGGGTCTACAATGAGAATTTAAGGCGTAAGATTTAATAAGTTGACCAATCATAATTAATTTTTGTTCTATAATTCGACTGGTCAATTTCTTAAGGTTTAGATTAGAGCTTAAATAGGGTGTCTCATTGTAGACCCCAGTTGGGTATTCTTCATAAAGAAAATGACTGTGATTGGTTCTTACGCAATTCAGGACATCACTTGATTCCGGTTAACTTAACCGACTGATTAATTCAATGGAATTGACCAATCACATTAGCCAATTAGCTAAACTGATCAATACATTTGGTCAATTCCGTTGGATTAATCAGTCGGTTAAGTTAACCGGAGTTGGTGCAAGTGACCCTTATAGTTCGTATAATATAGCTTACAATATTGTAAGACCCGTCAGACTATAAGTTATGATTGAGATTGGATTGATATTTTTCGAAACAGAACAAAGTTCACTGAACTTACGTTTAATTAAATTTTCTCTGATTAGTTACATTTCAATTCAATTTCAATCCTAATCCGTAGTTTGATACAAACATAATTATCGGAATGCTCTCCAAGTTAAATCGAATCAGCAAATCGAAAACATCATTACTGCTTATGGTTTTCTACGATCGCGTTTCAATATTCACAGAAAATTTATAATACATATGTAACATAAACTATAGATATTTTCAGCACCGACTGAGTGAATTTTGAAACACCATCTATGTGTCGTGGAGCCCTTGTAGTATATACCCAGTAAGCAAGAAACATTAAATCGATCTTATAAAACATTGATTTTATGTGGATTGTATAAACATTTTGACATAATATTTTACAAACATTTTTAAACATGATAATATGTTTAAATATTAAAATTATGGTGTGGTATTTTTAATGTTTCGGTCGAATATTATCAACAGTAACGTTGTATGCAACATTAAGGCTTACATGTTTGAAAACATTACTGTTATAAAATATCATTGTGATAACGTTGTGTTAACGATTTCTTGCTTACCGGATAGTTTACTACAGCACATGGGTTTCAGTTGGCCCTACTAATGTTACGCCGCTGAACCACTACCACGCACGCATCGATATAGCTGTGCGGCGGTCACCCCTATAATGCTGTCGCGTGACGACCAAACGCTGGAACAGCAGCGTAGCGTGTCTCAGTGGTCTCCGAGCTGAGGCAGAGTTCGTACTTAGGGACGGTTCTCTGATCGAGCTCCCTCCTCTCTCTCTCTCTATCTATCTATCTATCTCTCTCTCTCTCTCTCTCTCTCTCCCCCTATCTCTATCTTCTCTCTTCCTCCTTTCCTGTCCTCCTCTATCTTTCTTTAGCCCGCAATCCCAACTTTCCCTATCTGGTCTTGTCATAGTGTACTTATCTCGTATCGCGAGAAACGCGAGCGCGCGCAACCAAGTCATTCGTATATGCGCGCGGACGTGCACATAGACGTCGTAGAAAGAGCGGAATAAGGTCCCACGTGTCGCACGTGGGAAACTGCGGGACGTATGCACACCGCGAAGCTGGCGAAGTTAAACTGTTTCCTTTCCGATGCGAGAAGAAACGACAGTGTGATATGTGACGACGACGACGACAAGGACGAGGGCGAAGGCGGAGACGATCCGTGTTTTACGTTATAAGTCCGAAGAAATTTCGAAATCGCATGGGATAATTGTGACACCACTTTACCTCTGTGGTTCCTTGCCTCGCGAGCTTTTTAAACCGCGTGTCACAGGAGTTGTCTGTGCGCTTCGTACTTCGGTGATTCGAATCGTTAAGTAAGTAAAATATCGTTTCTTATTTGCAAGTTGGTTTTTACACGAAATATTAATGGAAGAGATTTTGCAAGATTAACAGTGTAAGGACTTCTGACGTTATCTCACCGTGCAGTAATCGAATTCTTACATGTAATATTCGCGCGAAATAAAATTTGAAACCAGATAATAACATTTAAATGCAGTGCACCTGTACGGAAGAGAACTGCAAGAGTGCAAAAAAGTTATTGATATGTAATTGAAGAACAATAATTTTTCAATAATATAACAGTAAATTTTTGCATTTTTGTAGCTTTTTTCTATACAAGCGTTCAGCATTTCATTGGCTGCGTTCCAATATTCATTGTCGATATTGAGAATCCATAGTATACAAACTAGATTTTTAGTAGTGGCTGTGAATATTTGAACGCAATCTATATGTCTTGGATAATCCTCGTATTAACCCTAGCGCGTAATATTATTTATTATTAAATAATATTTCTGGAATATTCATACATGATTATAATATGTCCACTCTTAATATTAAAGAAAATAATATTATTTAATACTGTTGTAATATTATATATTTTTTAAATATTCAATTCCATATATATGTAATTGTAGTTTTTGATTTCAAATGTATTGCAATACCAATTGTTTTATTATGCAAGTAAAGTCGACATAATTTTGTGTAAAAATACATGTTATATTATAAAAAATTATATATATATATATATTCATACATATATATATTTTATTTATATATTTTTTTTCTACGTCATTATTATTTTTCTTTTTATATTCTAAGAACATTTCTATAATATTAAAAATATTACGTAACATTCTTAGAATATTATAGGAATATTATTTTAATATTGTATAATATTCATACAATATTCTAGGAATATTACGCTCTTATAGGGAATAGCTGTTATTCGTACTCGATTTACACTGTGTCTAACGCATAACGATCCGATATTCAATAGGAGATTACACTCTTCAAGATAGTAATATTTAATAATTGCTAGTTAGTAATATTTTTGTCTCTAGTAGCCCGATTCTATAATTTCTTAACGACAACGTCATTAGTTGTCGTAGCTTTTCTGCCATATGTTATATCTGCGCAACAACGATTTAACGATAACGAAACAGTTCTTAATTGTTTCAGAATAGAGGTATAGAAAACGTATTCTGCTATTGAATATCGGATGTTGGACGTAATGTGAATTTTGCATTACTTGAAACTTGTCTCCAGTGAAATAACAAAGTTTGAATTTCGATTTTCGAATTAGATGCGAGTCTTTCAGTTGAATTGCACATATAATGTCACATAGATGTATGATTCAATTGAAAAACTTAGATTTGACTTTAAATTCAAATCTGAATATGTTACTTGAGACGAATTTCTAATAATGACTGAATTGATAATATCAAGTTGATGTTGAACTATGGCCTGACATATCTCTCTGTAACATTAGCATAACCAACGTAGTATGGTCAATCACAAATAGTTTGCGACACTTTTTTTTATAAGTTTGGGAACGCATCCCGTATTTAACAGAAGAATTTGTTTTCTCTAGTAATTTTCAGGAAATACATTTCCTTGTTGGATACGAGATGTGTGAAACTTACCAAAATAAGTATTGCAACCTTTTTGTGACTGATCATATATTGCAATATAAAAGATGACAATGTCGTTGCAACTTGCTAGTTTGATCAATCTTGATCGTACTTATATTCAAATTATTATTACATAAAAATAATTAAATATAAAGTAATTAATTATAAATGCAATTAATTATCAATTCTCAGTACGCAAGAAACATTAATCCATTTTTTTAAAACATTGATTTTATAAACATTTATAAATATGGATTTTATAAACATTTTAACATAACATTTTATAAATATTTGTAAACCGTTACTTGATAACATCAATTTTCCAAATATTAAAATCATAGTGTAGAAATATTGTTTTTAATATTTGAATTAAATATTGTTAATAATGACTTGTATAATGAGTTGTATATAACATTAAGAACTACAAATTTGAAAACGTTATATATTATAAAATATTATAATAACGTTGTGTTAATGATTTCTTGCTTATTGGATTATTAAATTATTGTCATACGTTTGTTTTAAGAATTTTTCATTTAACGTCGCGTAACGAATAAATAATACATAATTCGTAAAGATATGATAAACATACGTATTAAGATAAAAACATCTAGTCGATATTGCTAATGGCAATTTTGTTTCTCCGTATATGCAACATTCTTATATGCGTATATGTTGCTAAGGGTAAAATTACACAATTGCGTAATAGAACTGCAGAATAGAGATTGCGTCATAGAAGCAACCAATCAGCGCTATTCCGCTCGTTTCTATCAAGCAAGTTTTGTGTGCTGATTGGTTGCTTCTATGACGAACTTTCTATTTCGCAGTTCTGTTATGCACTGGGTAATTTCACCCTAAGTCGCGCGCTTATCTACTCCGTTTTTTGTTAACGGTCGATCGAGTGAACGTGAAGTTGACTTACGTCTTGCGAGAAATGCAAATATCGACTATCTATCTTCATTGCACAATCGTCCCTTGCCTATCTTTTCAGAGGACCCAGGCAATGAAATATCGAACGTCCCTTGTCCTTTCCTTATCGTCCGGATTCTTCGTGCAGTAATACTACCAGATAAGATAGAAACAAGAGGAACCTACGGAACATAGACCCAGATGAAACGGCATAAGATTACGACAGTTATCCATAACCATAGAACGTTTATTATTATAACATCTATATATTTTGTTATCGCCAAAAAATGGAAAAATTGTCTATTGCGTTATAATCATGATATTTATAGCAATATGACTATCCTAATTTTTTCTTATTTAGGTATAAAATCGCTTATCATACATTTATCACTGCATTTATATCACTTTTCAATTTTATTATGTGTGATATATTTATATTTCTACTAACTTATCTTTCTAAATTTGTTATCACATTCCTTAATATTTTTCTTATATCTTTATTCATTATTTATATTCCTTCTGCACAACATTAGTACGAATCCAACGATGGGATAATATTAAAGACCATTGGTCTTATTGTCTTTAACATACAGAAAAGTTTTGCTGTTTAATAACATCTAGTCGATAAATATGTTGGTAAGTTTTAATCTATTAAAAAATATTTTATATATATACGCAATTATGTATGATTAGATACAATTAGATATAATTACCCGATTACTATTGTACATTTTTTTTATGCTAGAAAAAACGTGTGGCCATTTCTTTCATTCTATTCTAATTTTCTACATTGAAACTTAAAGACAAACTTGCTGAGACCTCCTTGCATGCATAGGGAAAAAAATTTCACAATAATAATCAGATAATTATATCTAATCACATCTAATCATATATAATTATGTATAAATTATGCATAGTTATATATATTTGTGCATTATTATGTATGAAATATTTTTTAACGGGAAATCATCGTAGATATCCAGACAACACAATGTCCTAAAATCGGAACATAAGATATTTTATATTCTGTTTTATGTTTCTTAAAAATTGTATGTACGTCTTAAAAAAGTTTTTAAAATGTGTGTCTCGATCTTAGACATTGTCTGGATGATAATTGCAGGAATACCGTTTCACAGAAATACCCAATATACTTCATTGTAGCTCTGCATCCCTTACAGAAAAGTATTACCGGCTGTGATAAATTATTGTTACTCAGTAATTTTATCACTCGTACGAGCAGTAAAATTACTATTTATCACTGGCCAATTTATCATAGCCAGCAATACTTTCTTATAAGAGATATATATCGAAATAATCGTAAATTATAAAATTGACACTTATTATGCTTTAAATACACAGAGTAAATACGAATATGTGTTCCAATATTTCACTATGCGATATATTAATTATCAACGGCAATTATAGTTGATCAAACAGTGTGAAGATGAGTCAGTGATAAAATACTGTATCTCAGAAATTTGACATGTGAAAATTAGAACTGTGGATATTCAATGTGGATATCTACTTGAAGTTATAAAGACGCGTTTAGTGAATGTTTTCAATTTCCATCATAGATGTTTAATGGATGTCTAATGGAGGTTTCTATTCTTTGTGAGTAACATCGTATGATAAAAAGTTGGAATACTTGTATTCGTCCTGTACATTTAAATATTTATATCGAACGATTACGAATAATCGATAATGTCATCCTTCTTCAATTATCTCCGAACCCATCATTTCATTCGCACGAATATTTACTCACTATTGAGGACCTTTGATATTACCTCGTCGGTGGCTGGTCACAATAAGATGTAGCGCAATTTTCATCATGCATATTGAAAATGTACGTTCCGAAAACAGTCTTGAACTCGAAACATTTGAATGGTCGTACGCTGAATAATTTCAACCACCTTACAATTCTATTGGCAGAAGTCATTATCAAAATGGTTAAATTTTTCCTGCGAAAGAAAATATTTACTTTTAGGTTATATAGTTTAGTTAATAGTTGTTGTAGCTGATTTTTTTGTGGTTATTGTGTGCCGTATCTTGGATATTTTACAATATAATATAGCAGATCATAGCGGTTTTATTATTTTTCATTGCTTTTGGATCCGTCATTTTGAATTGTGCAACGGCCACAAATTTGAAATCATCCTAAAAAATCCCCAAAATATCATTCTTATTTAATATATAATTAGAGATTGTTTTGGTATCTTATTGTATGCTTCAAAAAATAATTTTTTAAATTATTTAGATAAGCTCAATTTAGCAAAAAATCATTTTTACCATTGGTATGATCAATTACTGAACTGTACAGTTCCTTATTTTTAATTTTTACTCTAGTTCGTATTAATACGATGTCTGGTTATTAAGTTAAATAGGTAAACAGATCCCGAGTCTGACTCAGGATTAATTTAGGTACGGCTCGCTTACCTCGAGTCAAATTCGGGCTAAACTGCAAGGTGATTAACACGAAGTGACGAACAGCGAGTAGAATCGTGTCCATCTCACACTGTTATCTACTATAATTAATATATATTTAAGGAATTCCAATGCACTAGGTAGACTGGGTAGTAACTTGCTAATTTAGTAATAAGTTAGTTAAGTTAAAAGTTATTAACTTTAAAAGTTAATAACCTTTAACTAAGTTTAAATAGGTTAACTTAAACTTTTTCTTTGCATTAATTAATTTTTTAGTTAAGTTAAAATACACAGCATTGCATAATTAATTTTTGCATCATTAATTTTTAACTTTACTTTTAACTTTTAATTTGAAGAAAAGTAATTTCATCTTAACTCGCAATTGAGTACTTTATTTATGTAAATAATAATTTTATTTTAATGTAAACTTAGTTAGTCAACTTTTAACTTAATTGAAAAAAAATTAACTAACTCTCAATGCACACAGAAAGAAAGTGAAATATAATCTTTGGTCGATACTACACATTCACTTGGAAATCGGCAAGGTGACGCATGAAATTTTCCGAACCAGACTTTTCTTTCCCCGATGATTCATATTTTATCAGCTCGGGCAGCGATTTTATGGGTTCGTTTTTTTTTGCCACGTTTTTACTTTGTTCAGAATGACTAATCTCGCCTGAATTTTCCGATAAGGGGAAAAAACGAAAGAGGGAGTAGGCAAAAGGGATTCGTCAGTTATTATTCATTCAACGCACGGTCCGGTCGTGTTCTTGTGACACCCTGCTGTAGAGGTCGGTGAATTAATAGACCTTCTTCGAATCGAAACCTTCTAATACTATAGTTAAATTAATATAGAGTTAATTAGAAGAAAAGAAAGGTAGAGAGAAAAGTAGAGAAGAAGGGGAAAAGCAGAATGAAGAATACGTTCGATCGATTTGCTTGCAGGTAGATTTGGAGCTTCCACCGGCCGCGCGCAGCATGGACGCCTCTCAACAATATTGTCTACGCTGGAACAACCACCGCACAAATCTCCTCAGTGTGTTCGACGAGTTGTTGCACAACGAAGCGTTCACCGATGTTACCATCGCCGCAGAAGGTGGCACTATCAAGTGCCACAAAGTGGTTCTGGTCGCTTGCTCGCCTTACTTCCAAAGCCTGTTTTCCGATCTTCAATGCAGCCATCCGATCGTGGTGCTGAAGGACGTCAAGCTGTCGGAAATCAAAGCGATCTTGGAGTACATGTATCGCGGTGAGGTGAACGTAGCGCAGGATCAGTTAGGTAGCCTGCTGAAGATAGCGGAAGTGCTGAAGGTGAAAGGTCTGGTGGAGGAGAACGCCGGTGGGTCGCAGGCTCGCGAGGAAGCGGTCACGACGATGTCACCGCCGCCCGCCATCAGCACCAGCACTGGAGGCGCGCCACACAACGCCCACTCGTCACCGCCGCACTCCACCGATAGTTCCTACAGCGGTTTCTACAGCGTTAAATCGATCGAGCGGAGCCAGGGTCGGCTCGGGACGATGACATGGCCCGGGATACCGATTTTCTCCGCGTCCAATACGTACCCGCTGCATCTCGCCGGCCATGAGAGCAGCACCGGCGGCGACATCGGCTTCAAGTCGATGCCGCTGACCAAGCGCAAGCGGAACGACGTTACACCGATACATCAGGCGGCGTGTTCGTTGTCGACAAACCGTGACACGCCGATCTTGCGTACGGTGCTCCGTCAGGGTCAGGCTCACGTAGACAGCTCGCACGTCGACAACCACCATGAAGGATCGCAGTTCTGCACGAACAACACCAGCTCGACGAGCGAGGACAAGCATGGCATCGCCGATCTCATTCATGCGGAGACAGCGCACAGCCCCTACGTGGACGCGCCCGCGATGGAGGAAGACGAGAAGCAACGGATATCGCCGCAGTCGTATGCCGGCGACAGTAAGTCGAGTGAGTAGCTCGGGAAGTTCAGCTCTTGAACACCATTGATTTGAGTCTCACTCAGGATCAATGAAAAGTGACGAAAACAATTTGCATCGAGTATGCACTAAGGCTTGTTCACAGTCCGTTCTTATATTTAAAGATCACGCCTTAAGGCACGCGATGTTTGTTTTCGTGTTAGATTGCTTACTGGATAAAAATACTGCGTTCTGATTGGTACATTTTCAAAAATGGACGACCAACGCAGTATTTTCATCCAGCAAACAATCCAATACGAAAACGAGCATTGTGTGCCGCTGGCACCTTAAAATACATCTTAAAATATAGGATTTGGGTAGCTAATCAGTTAAAAGTTAAGTTAAAAAGTTTACAAGTAACTTTTAATTTAATTCAGTTAATTTTACAATGAATTAACTTTTAACTTAAACTAATTATTTTTAACACACTTCGTTTTTATATAGATTAAAATATTTCTTTAATGATTGCTTTCTAATAAGGCACACAAGAGATACAAAAGCTACATTCAGCGGAAAAAAGCAGATCAGTGAGCGCTCAGTGATTATTGCCTGTGACTGGGAGTATTCTTTTAGATTCTTGGTAGATCCAGGAGTATATACCAATCAGGAGTGATAATCACTGAGTGCTCTCCAAGCTGTTTTTTTGTCGCATGTAGTCATTTTGTTGTCTACATATCATCTTAAAATAATCTTATCGATGATACTTAGCCAATGAAATAACTTTGTATCTCTTTGTTCTCCTTACTGGAAAGCAACCAATATTAAAGTAAATATTAAAGGGTGAAATTTTTATATAATAACAACAAAGGAATAATTTTCACGTTATACAAAATGTGATTTAGAAATTTGTATATATTATATGTTATATTATCGGCTATAAATTATTGTATTGGCTATGTGGGAAGTAATAAAATTTGATAACTGCTACTAAATAATTCAAGTAAATATACTCAGAGAAGAAATTAACTATAGGAATTTAAAAAACTAGATGTAGCAGATAAAATATATCTTTGAAAGGTACGGCTAATATGTCGTTGCTATCACAGCTAAATTTATTAGTTGTTTGAATTTAGGCGCTACAATGAAAAATATTGTTTACGTACAGCAGAAAAAGTAGCTAGTAAGCGTTTTCTGCTGCAGCTTTGCAACTAGTGCAAGATTTCCTACCAAACGACATTTGGCAATTTATTATTCCAACATGTTTATTAAACGGTCCAGTGTATTAAAGGTATACTGGAAAAAATAGCACGGGCATGGTGTAGCAGACAGCGCATTGGTCTGTGACGCTAGAGATTTAGTAGATATTATCCCCCCCCNCCCCCCCCGGTTCGATCCCCGCAGAATCGAAAAATTGTATACGCTCGTGTCTCCTCTGGACCGTCTGGCAAGAGCCACTAGAGAGGAGAGAGAGAGAGGAGTAATTTGTCCAAAGCATCTTTCGCAAAAATATGCTGTTTGGAGCCGGCGTTAAAACTGCGTGTAAGTCCCATACGCCTGTGTATTTATAATCTGCGTGTTCTCAACAGAGGCATATGCGCGAGAGGAAAAACAGGCCTTACAAGGCCTGTATTTATATAATAAGGAAGAGGGAAAAAATAGCGACCGCTTAATAAACATGTTGGAAACGCGTAAGTCGCTAGTATCGTTCAGCAGAAAATCTTACAACAGTCGCAAAGCTGTTGGCAACGCAGCGGAAAGCATTTGTCGAGCTGCCTTTTTTACTGAACGCAGCCAATGATATACATAATGCCGACTGTATATCAAATTCATTTTTCAATTTTGAATAATCACCCGACAATTCACTCTGTAGGAGCGAAAAGAATTCGAATGACTCGGTGTATAGAGTACACGTAGAATATATACGTTTTCCTCCGCAATGCGGGACATGATGAATAATATGACTCCTCGTTCGTTATAGATATCGTGAATTTCACGCAGCAGAGACCGGAGTGGAAACGGTACAAGCAGTATTCCCGGGAGGACATTATGCGGGCGATCGAAGCGGTCAAGTCGGGCATCAGCCCTGTCCAAGCGGCGCGCACCCACGGCGTACCGTCGCGTACGCTCTACGACAAGGTGAAGAAGCTCGGCATCAGCACGCCACGGCCGTTCAAGCGTGCGCCAAACGGCAGCAGCACTTGCTACTCCTACGGCATTGGCGGTAACGCGAAAGGGAGCATCTACAGTGGTAGTTTAACCGAGATCGACAACGAAAGCCGCGATATCAATAGCGCGGGCACGCAGGAGACATCCTTCGAGACCGCCAAGGTTAAGGATGCGTCGCAGGACCTCGGCGACTCCGCGACACCATTAGACACCGCGGTACCGCGGTGCACCCCGAGCCCGGTCATACGCTGCGTCAAACAGGAGTTGAAAGTGGAAGATGAAGTGGAAGATTTGTCCGTGAATCGCAAGTCTGATGTTCCAGTGATAATGCCGCCTACCACGTCGGGTGTAGCCAATGAAGAATCGCAGGACGTGGCTATATCGAACGATCGTCAGGACTATAATTGAGCTACCTCTCACGTGCGTTGCGTCGTGCACCTGTGTGTCACGGCGGAGACCTCTCTTTGCTGGTGCCGGTGTCAACCATGTACGTAAATGCGTAGAAACGGCGAGTCGATGTTGAATGCAATCTTCAAACTTTCTAATTTTCATAATTAGTCTAAAATGCGAAGAAGCAATTACCGATTGAGATAACAGAATAGACCGAAAAAATGCAGACATCTCGATGTTGAGAGAAGCCCGGGATTGCAGCGAGCGATTGTGTGTATAGTAGCTATGGTTCACGTTCTTGATTCGAACAAGTTAAAAGCTCATGCGAGCAGAATTGCTTTTCTTTTGTTTTCTCTCTTCTCGAGAGAAGAGGCAAACGGGGAGAAAAGAAAAAAAAGCAGAAGAGATCGCGTAGACTGGCCTAAAAGCCATTCTACGATATCCGTAAGAGTATGGCTGTAAGTCTGTAAGACGCGGTTGTAAGTTTCACTGTAGTAAACCGTAGAAACAAGAAATTATAAGCAAAATAAAAGTAATTCTTATTTCTTCATAATTTTATGTTATGTTATAACGGAACAAACCGCATCTTATAAACTCACATCCAAGGATACTGCGGAATAGCCTTAAAAGAACCACAAATACAGCAGCACTAAGATGCACGCACAAATACAGCACTGAGATGATCGAGTCGTACTTCCGTCCAGGCGGCGGCTTCAAACATATTTCTAATTTCAAATCTTTCGAAAGTCAGATATTTATATAACGCAATTTATATAATGCACGCAATGCGTTTGAAGAGTCCTATCTATCCTGGAGCCGCCTCTGTTCCGCTTTAAGGAGATCGATCGTCAAAAACTACTCGTGATACTAACTGCCGATACAGATCTCAGGAAGGCAAGTCGAAAAACGCAGCGTTTTTCGGACAGCAATATCTTATTTGTACAATCGTGGGTTTTTTTCCAAGATTGTTCGTCGTTATTCATTGAGTTGTAGAGTATATGTGAAGAACTCAAACATCGTCGAATATTCGAAGTGAATCTAAAATCTACGGCGTTTGAATCACTTGAGAACTTGCGACGGAGGAAGAATTCCCGTCATTACCTGCGGCTTCCTGCCTCGTAAAAGACTGAATATACGTCGTAGATTTGAGACTGAATATAAGTTGAATAACTCTTGCGTTCCAAACTTGTCCAATAAGGACGGTTGTGCAAGATATTCTAAATAGGATATTTTAAATAAGATTCCATCTAAAATTTTCACGTCATTGTTTCCGTAATTTTCTTAATATATGATTGATAACAATTAGAAAAAGGGAAGCAAATAATTGTCGAAGCAGAATATAAGGTGGAAAGACAAACAAAGCAAGTCGACAGCTGTTTCGTTTGAAAGAAAATTATGTCGATCTTGAGACGTTCCCGTTTCCTAATCGCTGATCGCTAGTTTCGAAGGTAATTATGTGGAAAAATTAAAACAATACGTTTTTAACGGTACAGATTCAGAAATCTTGCATAAATTATAGCCAGCGCATATTTTTGTTAGTGACTGAAATACTACTGAATAATTGTAAGATTATCTATATATATATATATATATTCTATAAATTTTTAATCGTTAGCTTACTTGCTTGTTACTGATCACGGCATTGGGAAATAGATGCAATATATGTTTTCAAGGCATATCACAGTTATCTACATGATATCGTAGCAAGTTACATTCGTCGAGCTACGCAGTCGTCGAAAGTACAAAGGTACGAGAAAAGCTCGAAGCAAAAACGAAAATATCTTACGGGGATCAGGTAACAAACATCACCACTCAGAGAACGTTAGAAAGTTAGAGCGCGGACAGCATTTCAGCCAAATGCGCTCAATCGAGCTTGTTACGATCCTGCATAGCATAATAATACCAACTACCTCTTTATGTGCAACGAACTATCTATGCATTAACATTTAAGACTCATTAAGACTGATGAACGTAAATCATGATGTCTGCCAAATTCTTATTCTTCTTATCATAACGATAAGTTATATATACATATACAGCGTATATATATATATATATATGCGTGTATGTATATATAACGAGTTTTTATATATATAGAAAAAAGAAAAATAGAGCAGACTATATATATACAAGTATATAAATATATTATATATATTTCGCGCGGAACATTGAAATGTTTATATTGATAAATACTATGTTATGACATGAACTAATGGACATTTTAATTATTAGTTTTTCGATGCAAAAGTATACTAAACTTATATATATGTTATCAAAATTTTCCTTATATTTTTTTGACCGTTTCAAACGGTTTGTTTCACTGGTGCAAAATGTACTAACGTGGCACGTGGCGAATTTCCGGATTTGTTCTATTTTTTCGCTAAAAATTGTAATTAACGGCATGATTAGATGCGAATTTATAGATTTACAATTCGCGTTCTTGTGTTCAACATCGTGTCATAATTACAGAAAAACTCAGGTATGCACAGACTGTAAAAGAAATCCGTAAAATGGATTAATCTATATTTATTATATTTACAATCTCATATTCTATTGTCATGATATATAAATAGTATTCAGCACTAGAAATAATATTATCATCGATTCTTCTCTTGCGAAGAAGAATCGCTGCTTACATAGAAATACTCAAATGTGTCAAGACAAAGTATATCAGGAAAATTTTAGCTTAAAATGAAAAAAAAAAAACTGGCTTTCATAATTGCGTTGCCAAGAATCTGCGAAAGTATTCGGATCAATTACTTTTTGCAATACGAATACAAACAAATAAGCGGATAATAGAATGAAAAATAGAGAAAAATGTAATAATAATTGGTAAATTATTACCGATATCTTGCCTTGACAACGCTCGACGAGCCAAAGCTGCCTTTGAACGTTTCTACCTCAATATATAAGCCATTTCATATTTATTACAGTAGAATTTTTATAAAACAGGGATATATTTATGATATATATATATATTTTTTTTCTTTTTAATGTACAATCAAAGACAGCGCCATCGTGTGATTGAATGTCATCTTAACATTAATAATCTCTTTCTTGAGATTAAGTTTCTTAGTAGCTGGATTATATCGTTCGTAAAAATTAATGATTAACCTATAATTTTTTAAGGTGATTAGTATGTTTAACAAATGCAACTATCACTCTAAAATATTGATAGCCTCGATAATCTTACATGATATACAAATATTTAGGTGAGGAAGAATACTTGAAGCATAAAAAGAAAGCAATAATTATAAATGACAAAATTTCATCACTGTTATCCGTATATGGTATTTTTTATTCACTTATTCGAGCAACAAAGCTGTCTCATGTACACAACTCATCGAGCAACTCTGCGTTAGGAAGCAATTGCTGTAATTGCTACAACTTTTTTTAAAAGTATCATTTGTTATAATTCTGAATTTTATATATTTATATACTGATTGTAATTAAGTAGAATGCTACAATATTATATATTTTGCTTTTTATCTTTCGACTAGTGTGGAATAATACACGCGCTGATTAAATATCATATTGTATTTCTCGACTTAAAATATTCATGAATTTTTTCATTGCTTTTAATTTGTAGTACATCGAATCAATTATTTTATATGAACTTGTTATATGTAATTATCTTATATTTTGGACACTTTTCAAGAACACCATGCACTTTTTGTACAATGTATGTTAAAACGTTAATATACACGGTTCTGTACTTTAATATGTTTACGTTTCAATGGACAACAATCGTGATAAATATTATTACACAAATACAATCAGCTTTTATCAAGGATATTTTTTAGTAGGAGCTGAGTGTACGGTTCATCCGCAGTTTTATCTAATTTTAGAATACATACATATTGCCAATTTCTCGACATTCGATTTGTTGCTTCATTGAAATTGTTCAGAAATATTTTTCTTTTTTTTAATAAAAATATGACCTCATTGATTTGTGCAAAATTTGATGCAAAAAATATTAATATCAGTTTTAGATAGGTCTCTTTTACTTTGTAAATTTATATTTTTAACCTTGTTCTCTTTGTTTTGTTAAATTGTGCCCATAGAAGAAACTTACACCGTTTACACCACATTAATATATTTAACAAAAAAGACACATGTTGCTAGTACAAACGAACCGTTTATGATAAAACGTTTTTTAAATTGATTTTCTATAGTGATTTTAATACCTCTTGTAAATAATCATAGTCATGAATAAGGTTGCCTTAACAACTAGCGTTGTATTACTTATAAGACTGATTTTATTATGTTCAATATATGCACGTATATAACAAATATGCATACACGCGTGCATATACACTCGCGTGTGTGTGCGCACATGCAGATTCAAACACATAGACATATATGCAATGTAAGTACACATCGTGAATATTTGCATTATTGTACAAAACTCTGATGAAAACCTCGAGATCAGAGTGTTGCGGGTGAAGGTGTTGAATAATGTTTGTTTTAATTGTCGGTTTCGTACATTTCTTAAAGTACAATTACATAAAAGCTAGATGATTTATCGCAGCCGACTGTTCATCGGAGTTATGTCGATATTGTAATTATTTACAATATAGATGTATTTAAATTTATCTATATTGTTATTTTCATCACGTGTATATGCACGTTACTAGTAATATTGCACCACGTTTGTTATAAAATATATTATTGAAAAAATGTATCAATAAAGTATATTATTGATATAATATTACATTTTTATTTAACCTGTCATTAGATAATAATTATGTAAATCTGACATATGAATATCGCACCGAACCGATTTCACGATACAAAAAAAATTCACGGCTATATTCCGTTTTAATCAAGCCCATTGATTAAGTTTACCTTGATTAGGGTACACGCAGTGCCGAATATGGTGGTTCGTGGTATGTTCATACGTGTGTGCGTATTCTATCGTTGTTTGAAAAAAAAGAACGAATAAATATGAGGGGCAAATTGCGATATAATTTTATCTCTGTTATTATTATTATTATTTTTATACTGAAAGAATTAAATAAAACAAAAGAAAGGGCCTATTTTGTACTCGTTCTATTTTCCTACTAAATCTCAAGAAAAGAAAAGGCCACTGATGCAATCTAGTGTGGTCAAGGAATAGAGAACAAACCTAAAGAGTCGCACAACTACAGTTAACACACAAAATACGAAATTCTATGTCGCAGATGACGAATCAGTAGTGCGTCTATATTGAAGAAAGGATTTGATAATAAGTATTAACATTTGATGAATATTTGCCCACTAAATATTTGATTAATGTAACTAAATAATTTAGTTTCACACATTAAATATATAGAACTACAGTGATGTATATAGAGTATACAGAATTAAATTATTTAGTTGCAGTAATCAAATATTTGATCGGCAAATATTCACCAGATTTTGGTACTTATTATCAAATTCTTTTTTCTGCGTATATTCGAAGAACAGAATCGTCGATCAATTGTTTATCCGATCTCTTATTTCATCGATACTGTTTTTCTGCAACGACTGGAATAATCTTAAATAAACTAAAAATAAAAGGGTAGAAGAAAATGAACGAGAAGAGTCGAGAGAAAAAACCGTTTCTTCTCCTCTGCAGATATGCCGAATAAAGCTTAAAACTGAGATGCACATCATCGGGATCTCGATGGTAGTTGCAGAGGATGCAGATCGAGAAAAAAACAAGGAAAGATATAGGATGAATAGACACATAGAATGAGAGGATGGGTGGAGAGAGAGAGAGAGAGAGAACAAGAAAGACAGAGTTACCTCCTGTTAATAAGCCTCATTCTCCAATACGCGCGCGGGGAGAATAATTATGAGCTTGCGCAGTACGCGTCTTCGGGCGGCGGCGGCGGCGGTGCCCGGCATAGGAACTCGCGGGGGTAGGGGACCCTGAGGGTGGCGAGAGGGTGATCGAGGAGAAATAAAGCCCCGAGCTCAGCCGGCGAATGCAGCAGCCGCGGATGCTGAAAATTCGTTCCGCTTGCTCGTAGTTCTCGTAGTGCTACGAAATTCGCGTTTCGCAGTGGAGTGAGAGAGAAGCGGACAGGTCGTACGGACGAGAACCGCGGTGCTGCGAGTTCACCGTACTACAATCAGCTCTATCTAGATCAGCACGCGTGCGTGCGTGCGTACGTGCGCGCGGGGTGCGTGTGACGACGATTCGAGTGCCGGGTGAACGAAGGCAGTGCGTGGAGTAACGTGTCAACGACTCCTCTCTCTCTCTCTCTCTCTCTCCCTCGTTGGCCCCATTTCAGTGGTATATATATCGTCTGGCAGCCAACTTCGCGAACGTGACGCTCTTTTACCCGGATATGCCGAGGCATGCGCCGTAAAAATCGACGGGATTGATGTATCGCAGAGCGCAGGTACATTACGCAGCGCCGCACGCATTTCGCGCGCTTGCATTTGCATGCGTTCGTCCTGTGCGCGGCGGCTCCTGTGACACAGCGCGCGCGACAGACCGAGTTCACTTGATTCACGGGCTCGTTAATAACTCAAGCAGCGAAATCTGCGGGAGCTGATTTTCACGCAGTATTTGCTGTACATTTTTTTGTCGGCAATTTGCTAGCAGAAATACAACGGGATCTGCTGGCAAAGATTATGATGATAGATGACAACGTAAACAGGATCTCCGTCACCATTTAAATGTGTTTAAACGAAATATACTACAGTTCCCGCTCGGTTTCTGCCGCCGATCTGCTGTCAAGTTATGTCAACAGGTTTTCTGTCAACAGAACATGAGCTTGATGCGGATACGGATTGGCTGTAGATCTGCTACGGTATTTCTGCTATCGAATCTGCTGCCTATGTGTCGGTATATTTCTAACGTTTCATTTGCGAGATCGCTGAAAGACGGATCGTTTCGAATTCATCTTCAGATGCTATACGGGTCGAAGCACCTGAAGATGAACCTGTGACGATTTTAGATCTGACTAGGAATGTTAGTCCGTCGCCCTTAAGCGGCTTTCATGAGTTATTACCGCTTCTATTATCGTGTCATCTCGCTAAAGGTGTTAAGGGTGATTTTGAATTTTGATTAATTTAATTGACAATTAACTCAGTGGAATCGGCTAATTGCATTAATTCAGCTAATTGATCAATGCGATCGATCAATTCCCTGTTGAATTAATTGCTGATTAGATTTAAATCATGATGGTGGTGGAACTAGGCATAAATCCCATAAGGAATATATATATATATATATATGTCATGCGTCTACTCTCTGCGAATCTATTCGTTTTTGTATTTACATGATGAGAAAAGAGTTATCGAGTCGCGATCGCACGAAAGAGATATCATGTACCTACTATATCAAGCGCACATGTCGTTTTCTAGATCTGCATCTACTATCTGCTATGCATAGCAGCAGTGGACCTAACGTTTACCTCCGATTCAGAGATTACTACGGCGAAAAGTCGAGGTTGCCCACCAGAATGCATTTGCCTTTCCCCGAAGCAGGTGAGAACAAGAGAAATCTCATCAAATATTCATGTATCATCAGTCATTAAATGGTTGCAAAATTTTTTTCGAGTTCGCAACCCATCTCGTATTCAATAAAAAAATGTATCATCAAAAAACATATTCTCGTATTGGACATGAGATGCATTGCACACAGACTTTTATATATTACTAGACTGTTATCTTCGACCAAGCAGCCTATTGGGATAGTCAGTCAAATTTTTTAGCAGTGGCCGCCATTTTGTGTATGGCAAATTTCATAATGTGAATTTGTTGGTGTGTGATAGTGGGTGGTTCATATACGGAACTTGCACCGTAAAATGAATTGATGCAAAATGCCAATATTTTTTTGCACGAGAGGCTGCGAAAATAAATTAAAGCATGATATGGAATAACGATTTTTTGGTAAATCATATTATTTACATCAATATTTTTGTAAGTAGAACATGAAACTTATGTGCCATTTTGCAAAATTCGCAATAATTAATGAGGAATTAATTATTTTGTCTGAGCGCACTGGAAGTGATAAGCCGAATTCTGTATTAAAAAATGGTTTACTTCTGAAGATCTTCTAGCAATGATAGTTTAACGAAGTATTAAGAGGCGAGAGGCGTGATTCTTTTCTGCGTATAATTCTTTGTCATATACCGCTCGCTGTTCACTTCGTTACTCCGCCTGTAGAAATCAGTTGATGTTCATTGTTTCTAGGAGATTTTCGGAAGTAAACAATTTTTCTTTATATAGAGTTCGGCCTACCGTTTGCCGTGTGCTCATTAGCCGAAACAAAATAATAAATGCCTTATTAAATATTGTGAATTTTGCAAAATGGTACGTGACTTTTCTGTTCCACCTGTTCTATCTGCACACCACGGGAACCGAGATTAGTTTGGGACACCCTGTATAAATTATTAAATATCTCATTAGCCAATTCGTCAACTTACAATCTAAAGATTTCCTCTTGGAACAGTTCCAATGAATATTTGAAAGCTACTATCATATGACTACTATCTAGTGACAAAATATTACCGGAACACTGGATATATAAAATGCCATGCACAAAATGGCCGTCAACTTTGCCTCACTTGCCTCTGCGAAGATAACAGTCTAGTAGTATAGAAGTCTACGACTTTTGTGGTTACGACTTTTAATCTGCCGATTGTGTGCGTACCTGTTTGTAAAACGATTTGAATTTTTTTTTCGACGAATTTCAAAACACACCCGACGCTCAATGACAAAACCTATATCTTATGAGAATTATTTAAAAATAAATCTTCCCATTGAGATCTGTGGGGTGGGAAAACGCACGATTCTATTATATTTATTAGATCGTTATTAAAATCGTAAACAGCAATATCTACTGCAACATCAAAAACTATTTTTCCACTTGAGATCGCTTTAGGTGCCATCGACTATACGATAGAATTAAAGCTTTCATTGTTATTCTGTGTATAGCCTCTTAAGCAATGCTCTAACAATTATATATTATCTATATTAATATATTAATATCTTTTAGCAATTAATATATTTTTTAAATAATTTGTTATAAATAGACCTAATCAAACTTCAAGATGTATATATTTTAGTTAAAAAATGGAATTATAACAGAGCAGCATAATTGTGATACTGCGACACTTTTGCTACGTAAGATATATATTAAAGGTTCTAAAACGTATGTTCTTCGAACATTTTGTTTGAATGTAACCAAACCGAATGAACGTAAAGCGGATACACCGCGCTGAAACTCCGCATAAAAGTCGAATACAGTTATACCAATTAAGCGGCAAAAAGAAACTTCGATTTCGGTTCAACCGTTTCGTTTAAATAGACAATTCCGGGTGGTTTTTGAGCAAAAGGTATAAACTATTATTTAAGGAAAACAAAAATTTTTTCGATTTTTTTTAAATTTCGAAGTGGCCTTAATAGATTGAATGATTGTTGAAAAGATTACAATCATTCTGCTAATTTACTGTCTGTATTTGCTATTATTTATTTTCATTTTAATAAGTTTAAACCATAATTATATTTTTATCTGTTTGTAGAAGATAAATCTAAGAAATAAATGTCTAACATAAGAAAATATAATGTACAATTTATTGTGCAGTTTATGATAATAGTGTTCATAGAAGAAAACTATAATTATCGATGCTGTTTTGCTTCAAAGCCACAGATTATCTAGACTTTATATTCAAGGGACTTAGGACTTACAGACATATCGGTTATTGTAGAATGGCCTTTTTGTTCGACTCAAAACTCAAACTCACTACGCTCATCCTTTCAGGTGCTTTGCAACACAGGCGGCCTCGAGGATATCCCGGCGAATCAGCTGCCGGAGACCGTGGAGGAGCTGTCACTGACAAAGAATAACTTCCCGGTGATCAGAGGCGATGCCTTCGCCGGTCTCCGAATCTTGCGCAAGCTTACCTTGGATGGCAATAACATCACTTCCATACGGCCGTTCGCGTTCCGCGGCTTGAATCGGCTGCGAGAACTCTCGATCCAACACACCCCATTGCCATGCATCGAAAAGTTCTCGTTCGCCGCTCTGCAGAACGTCTCGGTGTTATTGTTGGCGAACAACAAGATCCGTTACGTCGAGGGCTACTCGTTCGCCGGCACATCGAACGTGCAGGTGATCCTGCTGATCAACAACCCGCTGTTGACTGTCCAGAGCCACGCATTCGCTGGTCTTACCAATGTCGTCCGACTCGTCTTCCCATCCGGCATCCGCACCATCGAGCAGGACGCGTTCCACGGTCTGCAGCATGTCGGCCTGCTCAAACTCACCTACATGGACTTGTCCGGTCTGCGGGCGTACACGTTTCGCGGCCTCTCACACGTGTACTCACTCAATATCCAGGAGAGCGATCTTGGGGTGGTGCAGAAGGATGCGTTCGCCGACCTTGCCCACGTGGATCGGCTCAATATACTTAATAACAAGGTTGACCTAATCGAACGTTTGCACCTGCGCCACGACAACTATATCGATTTACTACGTTTTCACGGCAATCACGTACTGGAAGCGCCGCGGCATCCCCGAGACATCCTCTTGGAGGTGAAGACACTGAGCGCGATCGACAATCACTTCCCGTGCGACTGCCAGGCCCACAACGTCCTCGAGAGTGACTTCGTGCGCGGCAACAGCGTCGAATTCCAGCGGCGCAACTACTGCATCTCGCCGTTCGAATACAACGGCAAGCCGATGAACGTGGTGGACTTCGACCTGGTCGCCCGATGCCACGACAACGTGATGCAGGACAACCTAGGCTCGGGCGTCGTCGGCGTCTCTTGTCTGTCAACGTTGCTGTTCGGCTTCCTGTTCTTGGCCAAATTTTTCCGATGAACGCTCTTTCGGCCATTCTCCCGTCAGTCATCCTCGTCTTCTATATTTACTCCTTATTGGTAGATATTCGCCTCGGACTCCGACGAGAGCCATTTCATATCGCGTGCTTATTGTTGTATCGATTCTACTGGCGCGTCGCCAGTTTTCATGAGGCCTCGTAATCCGGTAAAATCGTGGAAGCCCGTTTCGCTTCGTTATCGTTTTCCCGTAGCATCGTATCTCGATGACTTCTGATTTGCTTCTGGAATGAGTATCCTGTCATCATTTCGTCTTCAGAGAGGAATAAGTACATATCTGCTTCTCTCTTACAAATTTCAACGGCGCATATAATGGTTGATCGTTAGGCGAGGAGAATATTATTAATGAGAGAAACAAAGATGTAAATGCAGAACTGCAGCGGTAGAGAAGATGTTATTCCGGCAACATTCGTTCGCAATATCGTTTTCGGTGAAAAGCGGATCGAGCCTGTAATCAATCAATAATTAAATAACACTGTTGCTGTTGTTGTGATGACGGATCCGCAAAATGCGAGCGATAATTCGCGCATAAATGGATACATATCCTCTCGTACGTATGAAAGTAAATCGAACGTGATATACATATCGAGAAAATCGTTTTATCTAATATCGAACGTCTCTTAGTTATCGTAAAATATTAGTATGACATTTAAGAAAGTCTAATCGAATATAACTCCAAGCATACGGCCTTAAATTGTTTCATATATTACCATTAAGTATAAAAAATGCACGAATACTTTGAGGAAATATATCGTTTCCTTTGAAAATGTAGAGGAACCCGTCTTTGTTTCTTTCTTCTTTCGCGATTGTCAGTCGTGGATACGTCGTGACCTTACATAATAATGAGTAAGCTTCGTGATATCGTATTTATATAAAAATTGTCTTGCATACTTTTCATATTTTTGGTAGATCTCTAAATTTAATTAAGAAGATATAAAAATGTCTTTTGAAATTTTCCTGATTGGAATATTAACACATTCGGTACGTACTAGTTGCAGGATTTCGGTATCAGGTGAATATTTACGTTAACTGACAGCTAGAAATATCAATTGAAACGTTTAGTCGTTTTTATATTGAGCAATGCTCCAATTAATTTTCGCGCGTATTTTTACCGTGTAAAAGTATTTATATAATTCTATGTAGTCTATACGATGTATAAATTTTACAGAAAGAATTTAGTATTTTGCCGGCAAAATTTTCAAATATGGCATTCCCTTAAGAGTTGTTGCATGAATAATATTCATTGTTAAGTTATCATTAGCCTTTACGATATCCGACTCACGCAAAAGGCGTTGACGTATTTTGCAATCGACGGTATGTGTGAGTGTGCGTGAGTCTGCGCGCATCTTAATGTAATTAACAAGTATTCGTTCGTGTATAGTTTTACTTTACAGGTGTGTTTATAAAACATCCAGTACACACATACATACTTAACATAGCGCGCGCGTACGCACGCACGCACGCACGCACGCACGCACGCACGCACACACACACACACACACACACACACACACACACACATACACACACACACACACACACACACGTTCAAGAAATGCGTATATATATATCTATTACACGTAAAAGAAAGCATCGAGCTATCTTAAAGAGATATGACACACGTTCTATAATCAATATATATAGATTGATTATAAAACTACTTACAGATCCTTAAATAATAATTTTAGAGCCGCAGGAATGAACGCTTGGCTCCTCTTGATCATCGCTGATACATATTAAATTTAACATAAAATTGATAGTCATGTTACTTTTTGCTTTCACTGCGACATACAAATTACAGCCAAATTACAATTATTTACTCTCTAATTCCAAAGAAGCAAATTGACTGAGGTTAGTTTTGACTCCTTTTTTATAGTTGTCATGATGCTTTTACAACCATTAATACAGCTAAAACAGTGTTTGTTACTGCTGTCACAGCGACTTTATATCAATTAATGCAACTAAAATGGTTACGACTTAATTTTGGTTCTTATTATAGCTGTCATGACGCTTTTACAGCTAAAAGTCCAGCAAAATAACATTTGCAGCTAAACAACCATAATTAAAGTTAGCAAGACATTTTTATCGTCGCAGCGAATATAGCCGTGTTACTTGGGTTGATCAGAATCCCACATCAAAACCATAGCCATCTATGTCCACACTCAGCTCGTGTTTTGATGGCAGGGCCTGCTGACAAATAGATGTCAGATTGCTAGAATAATCAGGAGCAAAAACCACGCAGAACTTGCCGCCGAATTGCGCGCAGCAAGTTTACTTGGCTTTTGCTATTAATTTGCCGTCAGATCGGTTCTCTTCGGCTAATCTGCTCCGAACAGATCCTATGTTATATCTGATGTCTTTCTGCATACAAAATTTGCAATTTTGAGCAGGCTCTGCTTAAAATTTGTTTGCATAAGTTTAGCTGTCTGGGTATATGTTTAATTATGTTGACGTGAAAGATCATCAGAAAGCGCTCGACATAAATCGGTAATAACGTCCGGCGAGAAAAGGAAACAAAATAAGTGGATTGAATTCATTCGTTTTGTGAGATATATTGATTACGACCGTTTAATATATTCGTTACTGTGATAAGAATATTTTTCTCTTTGATCTCCGAGAGAAATATAATATTCACTCCTTCTTTTCAAATTATTTTAAACATGAATCGCGTGTTTGAAACATTTGTAAAGTAAGAGAGATAAATTGGGGCTTCGAAAAGCCTAAAATATTTTTAAGTGCGATTATTTTTAATGTTAATAAGTATGCCATCCTGTCGATATTTTTTAATTCGCATATTATTGACGTATTAGAAAGATGGTATGCTCAATATCTTAGGCGAATAACTCTTTACCTTGTAAATCTTATTTTATAATTTTCGTATACGTACATCCTATAATCGTGACAATCGAACGAAAAATTCGATTATATCGCGTGCGCGAAAATGGAAATCATTATTATAAAATTCCGCCATGACGTTCAACTTTGGCTGTTGCTTTAGAAATTATTTGCCATTATAACACATCGTAAGACATGCGAAAATTTACCTTTTTAATTTAAAGAATCATTGATTAGTTAGAAATTTCTGAAACATGATGATATACAAAATATTCTCGAATTACATTTGATACTATAAACAATTGTATACACAATTTGTATAAAAAACGTTTACTGTGCCAATGTTTTGTATTTACTTGCTATCATGAATTGCGCAAGACACAGGAGTGAGAGAACACTAAGTAGAGGAAGCAATTGTAAAACAAGATATATGCCATAAAATGTTTCGTTCTTCATATAATCACGTTGTGAGGAATGCTTTTTAGGTGAGAATACATGACGTCCAAGAACTATACATACTATGGACAAAATCAGAGCTACGAAATATAATGCTACATATGCTTACGACTAAAAGGAGAAAAAGAAACTATATAAAGCGTGTTTCGCTGCCACTTACAACGTAAGATTTGCTTGGCCTTCGGTCAGCATAATAACCGAGGACCAACCTAGCTTATATTTTTTACTAATGTTTAAAATAGCGTTTAATAGATACGATCATTCAGAACTGTAATCTTTCATTGTAGTTAGAATGTTCTGTCATATAATGGAATAAAACATTGACACGTAATCCTGTGAATGCTAAAAATAAATAAATATACAGGATATCTCAGACCTATACTCAACTGTTATACTTGTAGATAAGAAATCCAGATATTAAATTGTTGTCGAACATGAGATGGGAGATTTCATGAATTCATCAATAATATGTGCCTAAAATTAATAGAACTTATAGAGTACGAAAATTTAAATAATTAACGTATATTTTTTATCGCGATTATTTAATTAACAATATACCCTTTACAGTGAGAGTATACATTTTATTCTATATTTATTTTAATCTAGCACGTTGGGAGGAGGGGGGGATTTAATGAAGTGGAACAGTCGGTGGGTCAGGAACGGGATCGAATTCTCCAACGCTCTCCATATATTGAATGTCCTTGCGATACAGCCTCAATTCCCAGTACATTCGTGACTCCATGGTAGTTAAGTCGATACCAAGATCTTCTAGAGTAGGTAATTCTTTCAGTACACGGTCGGATATAGATTCCTGTGAAGCAAAGTTAAATAATATTATCTGTCCTACCTAATGTGTACGAGGAGCCGTTAGAATTTATATTCATTTTATAGTACAATACGGCTATATTTTGCAATATATTAAAACGTACCCTTTCTAGATGTTCCCACTGCAAATATCCGAGTGGATTCGCGGGACTTATGATTTCATTCAAGGTAACTTTGAGCTGGAAGAGTGGAGCATACTTCAAGTCTATTCTCCTATAACCATAATCTTCTGGATTACGCATACGTATTCGATGGAACCAATCTAACAATTCAGACAACTTGTAACGTCTTGGCCTGTATAAGGATAATACTAACATAAGAACGTAAGAACGTGAGAAATTGCATGTATGATCATGTAAGCTGATTGTACGCATACACACCCTACAAATTGATAAGTTTTACCAGCGGTATTGGGATCTTTTGCGATAGCCACGATACCTCCAGCAACATCGTACACAGCTACTGGCTGTTTTTCAGTTTGTTCACCCTTTTTCCACATTGGTATAGTTCTGCAAGAAAATATATTTGGTTAACGATAATCACTATTTGTAACGCATCAAGCTATATTGTAACGCATGGCAGTTACTTGGGAAAATATTATACTTGGAAGGATTGACTTTAACACGATCAAATAATTAATCACTGAAATCGAGTGAACATATTACAGTGTGTTAAATGCTAGAAGATTTATTCCATACATAATTTACCTCATATGACGTCTCATTAAACCTGAATAGAGATTTAAAAATCGGTCCTCTTGGCCCCATATTTCCGACGGCCGTATAATTGTAGCCTCGGGAAACTCCTCTCGTACTGCTTGCTCTCCTTTCCATTTTGTGTAAAGAAATCGGGAACCGCTTTCCAATACATGTGACTTAACGTGAAAAAGTTGTTAATAAAGTAAAATCATAAACATTATCACGTTTTATTCAATGTGTCATAAGATAAAATTACTTTTCAATTTACCTCTATTTTATCACCTACATTTAGAGCTGACAAATGGATGAAACGTTCAACATTTGCTTCCTTGCATAATCTAGCAAGTCTTCTGGCTCCTTCAACATGTACATCAGAGAAAGTAAAGTTTTTAGTTTCCCAATCTCGTCCAATCAGATTGATAACAACATTAGAATACTTGATACACTTCCTTATGGAGTTTTCGTCACGGAGATGAAATGGTTGAAACAAGATTTGTCCAAGATCTCCGCAAAGTTTTAACGGCAAACAATCATACATATCACATTTGTATGGTATTATTACCTACAAATAGGATTGAATAATTAATTAAAGAATTGATTGTACTATTATTTGACTATTATTGTAATCCCGATACAACAGCCGCATTCATCAAAAGCAGCAAACATTTTGTACTTGCATTGTCTGCAACTGTTATAAAATTTTCTTCTGAGCAACATTAGCAATTATGATTTTTCATTGTGTTCAATAAGTAATTGCTATTTTCCCAGCATACATTTGATATTTATTGGATTGCTTAGTAAAATATATTGGAAAAGAATGAACGACTAAGTGTCATTCAGTAAAAAATCAGCAATATAGCACATACTAAGCTGCATTTTCTGCTGAATATAACCAATGACAACAGGACGATTAATTCAATAGCTAAATCAAACATTAGTTTAAACGGTGATCGTTCTTTTTAATAGTTTGCATATAATTTTTATATATACCTGAGTACCAATTTTCCCAAGACGATTACACACATACCGTCCAACAAACCCAGTTGCGCCAAATAATGTACACACCATTCCATTGAAAGAACTACGACCACCGGTGCCTCTTTTTAAGGAAGCGGTAGTCGGGTTTTTTATAATCCGTGGTTCCGAGGAGTAATAACGAGTAGAATTCGTCTGCACCGCGACAGCAGCGATACATATTGTCTGCTGCTCTAAAATGCACAACAAATGCAATTGTTATGGTTATATAATTATAAATCAATATATATTACAGGTATAAATGAAGCGATAGTTTTATAACACATTGGTATCGCGGGTCTTCAAAGAACACACTAAATTATTATTATAAAAGATATATATGAAAATAGAAATCTTACTTGCTGCTCGTACAGTGTATCTCGGAATCAAAGCAGCCATTTTCGTTGGCAGTCCATGCAAACTACCTTCCTTCCTTCCTTCAACAGATGGCTCTGGAACTCTAATTAGGGCGTTCAAAAATTTTATCCTGGGATGCGTTCAGAAATCCTACTCGACCGATTACAGTAGTCGTCAATTGACCAATTGAGATAGAAAGAGCAAATATTTTTCTATTATGATTGATTTATAAACGCAATTCTACCCATATAGTAGAATCTCTGAATGCATCCCTGAGAGTAGAGCAGGGTGAGAAATTTCAGGGTGGATTCGGGTGCATTTGACGAGAGTTTTTAATAGCGTTTTCCATTTATTGAATTGGTATCCTTTTAAATGTATTTCGAAATGCGCTGACAATACAAATTAATAGTTCATTGGCGTTTTCGACTCGTTAACTTAACCCGACTCAGCCAGCGTTCCAGTAATTTTTACAATTTTATTGCAATTTATTGGCGTTTTAAATATGCTGACTCGATTCGGGCAGCGTTCCGCTAGAGTCCTAGATAATAGAGAAGCCACGATGGACCTAAGAATCTAGAAACGGAGCGTAAAGTCCGTATCAGACTGTAGATCCAGTATATGTATAACCAATAGCGGCATTTGGTGGGAATAGCGTCGGAGAAATACTACAGCGCATGCGTTGCATTACTATCGACCAAACATGGCCAATTATGGCAAGAGCGTTATCCTGGTTAAACTTACTCGCGAAACGTTTCTTCATGTTTAGCCAATCGAATCAAAATTGGTGGCAAAAATGGTGTGGCATTATTGGAAGTCAAATCCTGTTTTCTTCGACGAAAATCTAACCGGTGATAGATATTTTTCCTTGATAAAGACGGATTTTCCTATCTTACTAGAAAATCTTCCTCTGTAATTGCGCCTGAATATGTGGTTCCAACAAGATGCATGTCCGTTGCATACATCGATAGTTGCTGCAAACTGCATTAAATGTACCGTCCTTGATTATTATTTCTGGGGAAGGATAAACGTCTATCATGAACGTCCGACTACGAGGGACAATATGATTCGTAGAATAAGTGAAGCAATTCGATCCTTAGGTGCTGAAGAAATTCTTCGAGCAATCAATTGCTTTCAAAATAAAGTAGATGCTTGCATCGCAGAGAATGGTGCTCACTTTGAACACTCAGTCGCTTAGGCAAACATACATTCATTTATCCCAGAATCGCAAGGGGACTCATGTTAATCTAACACCCCGAACATGAGAGACAAAAAAATAATGAACTTGTAATAAACAATTACACAGTTTTTTTAAAGATAATTATGTTATATATTTAATTCGTTTTTATTACACCAATTGATTAGTCTCATCACTCTGTGTATAAAAGTTTAGTTTATTAGGATTACGGAAAACTGAATGTTTTACAGGATATATTGTATTTTGTCCAAATGTTGAAATTTTCAAGTTTTATAAACTTTTTAATGAAAAAAATTTGATTATAGTGTTTGGGAAAGCTTTCAAAATAAGCTATAAGAATATGTATTGAAAAATAGAGCGTACCATTTGAAAAAATCAACCTTAATATGACTTTTAAACGATTATTCAAGATCAAATCAATGACATTACCTTATGTACACCTTGAAGCCATACAACTTTTGTCTGAAACGTTTTTTTTTTTCCAAAATACCCTGCTTCCAAGATAAAAGGGGTGTATGGGTGTTCATCCAGGGTTCAAACATCCTGTATATTTATACCAGGTGTAGAATTATGAAACCGGAATTTTTTTGTAAAAATTACACGTTTGTTGTTTGAAAATGATAAAAAATATTTTATTCAAAATAATGTCCATTGCTATTTATACATTTTTCCCACCTCTCCGGCAGTTTATGAATGCCACGCCAAAAAAACATTTCTTCTTTTGAAGCGAACCAGCTATCGAGCCATTTTCGTATATTTTCATACGAATTGTTCAGCGAGAGCGTGTCCCATTGATGCGAATAGATGAATAATCGGACGGAGCCAAGTCTGGAGAATAAGCCGCATGCGTTAGTATTTCCCAACTGAACGCCTCGATCGTTTCCCTGACCCGTTTTGCTGTGTGTGATGGGGCATTATCATGGAGCAAAATGACTTTGTGTTGCCTTTTTCCATATTCCGGTCGTTTTTCACGCGATTTAAATCGATCATTTGCTGTTGGTAGCGATCAGTGTTAACAGTGGTAACGGTTTCACCTNCTTTCCCATGGCTTTCAAACGAATTGAGACAGCTTTCTGCGTCACATTCAATTCATCCGCGAGTTCTTCTTGAGTTTGAGTATCATCTTCATCCAATAAGGCTTGCAATTCGTTGTCTGCGAACTTTTTCGGTAGTTTCCCACTTCGTTTCTCACGTCAAAATCACCACTTTTGAATTTTTTGAACCACTCGAAATACTGTGTTTTACCAAGAGCATGTTCACCGTAAGCTTCGACAAGCATTCGATGCGCAGCAGTTTTCTTCAAATGATAACAAAAAACCAATGCTGTCCGCAAATCGTAGTTCGTAGGCACAAAACTCGACATGTTTAAGGTTATAGAAAAATATACCGGTGTATGGAACTTGGGTTGTTGTGTGTTGAGAATCTTCGTCAGCTGTTAGAGGGAGATGATGGCGCTGCAGAAGCGGTCTTACGGTCCCTAAATTGATGGCTAGCACCATCTATAGGGAAATTCCGGTTTCATACTTCTACACCTGGTATGTACACGCCTGCGCGCGCGCACACACACACACACATATTTATATATGCGCTTATCTCATACTTTATTGTATCACATGTAACATTCACGTCGCATTCCTCGCGTTAACGTAATTAGTAGTCGTTCGTTTAATGCGCATCCGATTGTGAATCGTTAATAATTCAGACGCTATACTGTTGATTTTAAGAATAGCTGCGTTGAATGAAGCTGCGAAGAAGAAAGTAGCTAGTAATTGCTTTTTGTTACACTTTACAACTATTATAAGATTTTTGCTCAACGATACTAACAATTTATGCTGCTCCAACATATTTACTAAACGGTTCAGTATATTAACACTTTGCTATCGGATGACGCAGTACTACGTCTTTTCAAAAGTAAAACTGAGAGCGGTTGATGTACTAGTACGTTTTTCTTAAAAAACTAGAATGGTAAAAAAAAACAAGGAAAAACAATTTTTCTGTATATTAAGCTTGACAAATAAAAGTTAAGTAATAAGTTTCTAAATATTATATGTATATTATAATATTTTTAGAGCACCTGAAGTTATATATTTGTTAATTTTTGTCAAAGAGTTTGTTGTTGAGATGCGTAGGGACTTGTCGCTATATCATTACATTTACTATCTGACGTGTGGGCTATCGGTTTCGCAAAGATTGATTGAAACCCGCGTGTAATTCAAAGAAAATAAACTTTATTTTATTAAATTATGTAAATTTATTGTATTAATTTTTCTATTTTAAGATGTTATTTCTTTAAGTTGTATTTCAGTTGTATTTTATTTCTTTGAGTTGTGTTTCAGTTACGTAACAAACATTTTAATACATAGATAAGCATTTTTTAATTAAATATATCGTATCGTTTATTATTTTTTGATATTTAGAAACAGACGTATTAATATTTCATTATCTTTTTCCCAAAGGAGGTCCTCGTTCTCAGTGTTATGCATGCAACAAATATAGCCCGCTCCGAGCATACGATCTTAAACTAAACCTCTCCGCCAGCATAGTGTTAAAAGTATGCTGGAAAAAATGACGACCGTTGATATCGTTCAGCAAAAAAATCTTAAAGCAATTGCAAAGCTGTTGGCAGCGCAGCGCAAAATAATTATTAAGCTGTTTTTTCTGCTGAACACAGCCATTGTTCCATATATGTATATATATATATATATATATATATATATATACACACACACATACACACGATATTAGCGGTAGTTATTTTTTCCAGCATACTTTTAATATGCTGGACCGCTTAGTAAACATGTTGGAACAGCATAAATTACTAATGTCGTTCAGCAAAAAATCTTATAATCGTTGCAAAGTGCATCGGAAAACAATTATTAGCTATTTTTTTCTGCTGAACGCAGCTATTTTTAGAATCAACTTGTGCTGTGTGGCGTCCGAATTATTAAAGATTCACAATCGCATGCGCATTAAACGAACGATTACTAATTTCATTAACGCGAGGAATGCGAACGTTACATGTGATACAATAAAGTACGAGATAAGCGCAGTCTTAATTGATCCTTGACGGAATGTTTAATTCGCGCGTCCGGACACTGCGCCTTCATGCGTCATTTGTCACGTAAGAATTATGAATTTGTATAATTCTTTCGTTGTTATGTTAGGCACACGCGTGGCTGCATATTACATAATATATGTACAAGTGTTTCATCGCGTAATCGCAAGCAAATCAAATATTGGCCAGTTAATTTATATCGCACCGCGAAATAATTCACCCTTCGTATTCGCGTTGCGAGTTCTCTTGCGAAATGTCCAGCGGTTTCGCAGTCATTTGTAAACACGTTAAGCGTGCGAGAGAGACCATAATTTGCGATCGATATTATTTAATCTTGAAGAATAAAGCGATAAATCACACTTTTGGGTAAAATTATTTTGTCTCACAGTGGAAATTATTTTGTCTCACAGTGGAAAAGAAAACCCCAAAAGTTGTGGTTTTTTGGCCAACACAAAGATTGATTCTGTAAGTACATCTCTTTAACATATTTTCAATACAAGATATCCGCAAAGCTCAGGGCTAAACTTGGAAAATGTATTAACAAGGTTGAATAGGTGAAAAAAAGGTTAATATAAATTTGGCTCGAAAATGCTTTATTAAAAAGAGATAAACATTCAAAAATTTATGAGCAGGATGTCTATAATTCGCTATACGGAATCATTGAATTAGAATAGTTTACACGTTTCGATCTGTTCCATGGATTTTATCAGTTGTTGCAATAGTTACAATAAATGTCCTAAAACTCTTCTTACTATAAGAATGCAAGTTTCTACTCGTCGAACTAATGACTGCTCTTTCGAATATTCCTACTGTACTAGAAATAGTAATAAATATATTTTAAATACACTCTCAAAACTGGTTTTCTGTTTCTATCAGATTATCGTAGACTAATTGTTTTGCACGGACCCATAAATAAAAGTTAAGAGGCATTAAATCTAATGACTAGAGGCTAAATAATTTATCTGCAATGACTGATCCAACGCTGAGCAATTATTAATTATAAAACTCATGTACATTCCTTCCAAAATGGGGCAGAGCACTATTA